ACCCCCTCCTTAAGGGTGATCAACAGACCCCCTTTCCGGTTAGGAGCCGGAACCCTGGGTTCCGGTTTTTACCCAAATAGGGGTTCCGGTTAGGAGCCGGAACCCTGGGTTCCGGTTTTTACCCAAATAGGGGTTTTTTTGACCATGACTCGCACCAAAACGCCCTATACCTACCTACTTATTGGGGGCGCCAATCCCCAGGTTCCGTGCCCCACCTACCTACTTATTCCCAGGCCGGGCAGGGAAGGGAAAAAATCCCCGTTATTCCTCTGTGAATAGGCTCCCAGCGCCCGCCGCGCGCCGGTTTGTACCGCAGTGCGCCCCCCTCGGGAGCCCCCCAGAGCATGGCCCCTTTGGGGGTTAAACGCCCCTTTTCCCGCGGGAAGCGGTTTTTTTCCCCCCCCCCCCCCCCCCCCCCACACACACCACCACCACCTACCTACCTATTGCGGGGCCCTCTGGGGCGGTCAAAACCGGACCTACCTACCTATTGCATAGGCTCTGTATGTATGTAGGAAGGTGAAGAACAGCCAGGCTCGGACTGGACACCAACGCGGTATGGGTGGACGCTGGACAGATGATGTGGCGACAGGGTCTAACCGGGGCAGACCCCCTGTCTGGCTACTGTGCTGTATGAATGGTTGGGCAAGTTGTGGGGGACACGATCCCGGCGTGAACACGACTAACTGACGGATCCGCTCCTGACAGTGGCATGCACCGCGCCGCGGCGCGTGCCACTGTCTTTGTTTGAAGTAAAAAGTGGAATCAGAGCGCCGTCGGCGTTGTCCCCCGATTTTGTCCCACGGACCGCCCGTCCGGGACCGCTCCGGGACGCACGCCGGCGAAAAGCACCATCAAGCTGTTGTACGGCCCGGCATCGCCTTCCCAGGCTTAGCTAGACTGAGAGATATTGTGCATATGGTCTGTCTCTACAATATACTCACTGACACTCCACCTCCCAGAGCTCGTCCCGGTCCGTCACGGCCATCCTCGTCCTCCGGAGGGCCCCCGGCCGCGGCGCGGTGCGGCGGCGTCACAAATCCGACCACAGAGCACCGGGACGCGGTCGGGCGATCTGAGGTCCAACTAGGCGTATGCATTGTCCATCCAGGGCTATCACCTGGACCCATCAACAGGCGCCTGCGGCGCCGTCACTCCCTTTGTTCTCTTCTCATAAAATCGGAGGGTCGGCCCACGGGGGGACTTCGTGAACTGAAGCGACCCAACGATTTTATGAATGGCAGCAAAGGGAGTGGGCGCCGTGGTCACGAGGTGGTGTCAACACTTGCCCAACCATTCATACAGCACAGTAGGTGGCTAGAGCTCTACCGGGAAGCCGGAACTCATAAGCTGTGGCATAGAGACGCCGGCCGACTCGCCCGCATCCTCTGACAGGCACCGGCCCGTGCTCCACCGAAACGGCGGCATGTCGTCAGCGTTCTCGTTCGCACCGGCCGATACGAGTATGGTCATAGAGCCGATGCGCTCGGACGAGTATGAGCGCTGCATCGACTTGGCTTCGGCCGCCTTCAACACCAACAACCCGATCATGAAGCGCGCCGGCCTCTCGGTTGAGGACTACCGTGCGTACGCCCTGCTTAGCTGCTCCAAAGTCAAGAGCGTGGACACGGGCCTCTCTCTTGTCGCGCGCAGCGCGGATGGCGAGCTTCTCGCTTTCCTCTTCCTGAAGACGTTTGACCCATACCAGAAGACGTCTGACTTCAAGGAGATGATGCGCAAAAGTCGGACCACGGCGGGGCTCATCGAGCTCGTATCTGGGCTCTACGACAACGCGATCATGTCCATGCGCATCGGGTCGATGGCCACGGGCAAGGCGCTGCACTGTCCCATGGGCGGCACACTGCCCAGCGTCAACGGGAAGGGGGCCGGCAAGGCGTTGCGCATGCGTGCCTGCGAGGTGGCGCTGGAGCGTGGCTTCAACACGCTGCTTGTCGAGCCGGCGCACGGAGCGACGCGCCACATCTGGACGAAGTATTGCGGCGGCATAGTGCGCGGCGAGGCGTCGAGCGAGACCTTCGCCTCCAAGGCGGGCGACTTCCCACTCAAAGGGAGCGAGTCGAGCGTCTCGGTCGTCGAGGTGGTGCTGCGCAAGGTGCACCGCGACGCGGCCGTGTACAAGCCCTTCTACCTAGCCAAGATCGTCGTTCTGAGCGCGGTCATGTAGCGAGAGTGCGCGCGGCAAAGGCGGCGCGCCGAGCAGCGGAGGCCGCGGCGCTGGAGGAGCAGAAGCGAGTCGTCGCGGCAGAAACGGAGGCGAAGCTGGCCGCCGAGCGGTGAGGCAAGCGGAGCGAGAGCGAGAGCTGGCGGAGCGCGAGGCGGCGGGGGCGGCAGAGAGGGCAGCGGCGCAGGACCACGCCCTCCTCGAGCGAGCGGCGGCGGCGGACCTCGAAGAGGCGCTGCGCCGGTCAGTGGCGGAGGCGGCTTCATCGGCGGCGGAGCACGAGCCGCCCGTTGAGTCGCTGGCCGTTGTCTCGCTAGCCAGTGCCAGCCTCGATGCGGGCCGCCCGAGGGCGCCCGAGTCCACCCTCGGCGGCGGCGAGACCACGTGCATCATCTGCTTGACGAGGCCGAAGACTCACATCGCGGTGCCGTGCAGCCACCAGTGCGGGCCGTGCGCGGAGCAACTTGAGGACGAGTGCCCGTACTGCCGCACGCGGGTCTCGATGTGGATGTGCCCACTTATTGTTTGAGCGTCAGGGGGCGGCTCGTGTGGCATCCCATGTGCGCTTTCGAGCCAAGCAATGTGTACTGTGTACCAGAGTACACCACAATCCACACAAATCACAATGTATGTGTATACGCGCTTTATATAGCACTTAGCAGTGTAGGTGTGTTCGCAAAATAAATAATCGAGCCATCTAACTTGGTAACTAACCCGAAGCCAAACCCCGGTTTTCACCCAGCACAGACGACCCCCACACCTCGTCCTCGAGTCGACACACGTAGAGTACTCACCCGCACTGGCCACTGCGGACACGCCAGTCCAGTCGCCACCGGCCACGGACGTGCCGCCACGGTCTTCAGCCCGGCCGCAGCGCGTCGAGCAGTCCCTGGAGCTGCTCCCCCTCCGCTCGGAGTGCGGATGCGTCGTGCGTCTCGGCCTCCGCCTGCGCCTCGGCCCGCTGCGCGCGATGCTCCAGCGACTCGCACAGGTCGGTGAGCGATCGCACCTCGTCGGCCAAGCTCGCCGTCTCCGCCTGCAGCTCCGCGATCCGGCCCTCGAGGTTGCCCTTGAGCGCGGCGGCCTCGGAGAGCTTGGAGGCCCCGAAGAGGAGCGACTTTTCGTAGACGGTACGGTAGGCGTCAATGGTCATGCGCGCCTCGCCGGCGACGCGCCGCAGCAGCGTCCCCCGACGGGGCTCGTCGCGCGCAATGGTACCGGCCAGCTCCTCGAGCAATGCGCCATGCAGCGCCTCGCGGACGGGGCAGATGCCGGTTGGGCGCGCTTGCCGCTCGCGCAGCGCGCGCTCGAGCTGCTCCTGCAGGGTGATGGCGTCGAGACGCGGGCTGCTGCTCGGCGGCTTCCGCCGCGCAGGAGAGAGCGGGCCGAGGCTGGCCTTCCCGCCCGCGCCGAGGACAGCTCCGCCACGCCGCACCCGGATGCCTGCGCGCCGCAGCGCGTCGTCGTGCGCGCTGAGGGCGCCCCGTGGCAGCTGGACGAGATAACGGCCGACCTGCGACGCCTCACCCCCGGTGAAGTCCGTCGTGTACA